ATATATATATAATATATATATATACACCAAATTATTATTAATTTTACTTTGTATTTTTTTTATTTGTAATATTTTCATAACTTTAAATTAACATTTAGATTTTGAATTTTATTATAATTGTTAAAAACTATTTAAAACATATAATAATATATCCTCTTAATATAATTTTAATATTTAAAATTATATTAAGAAGGGGATAATAATCTTTTTAAAAATATTTACAAATTATCTTGATTCATAATCCTGACAGCATCAGTTTATCACTAGATTTTAATTGATAAAAATATTAAAAATTTATTCCAAATATTAATATGTTATAGCATAAATTACATATCAAATTATTTTAAATATTTTGGAAGTAGAATATATTCAAGACTTTTAGAAAATTCTTATTTTACAGTTTGTAATTATATATTTCTTTTTAATAGGTAACAAAAATAAATTATAAAAGAATTATCATAGTATTACTTTAATAAATCATATTCATCACCATTGGATGAACTTATGTCTTAAATTGCAGACATAAAATTTAATGTAAAATTCATTCTTAAAAGCATTCCTCTAAAATCAATACTACAAATTATTATATTTCAATTGCCAACAAATTATAACTTAAATATGAACTGTCTTCAAGAATTACATAATTTTATTGCCTGAAGATGGTCCAAGTTTACATTTTAATATTAGGAAGTTGTATATCTCATAAGAACTCAATAATAAAGAATAAAAATGTAATCACAATTTTGTATTTTCCTTTGGTATTTAAATAAAAAATTGATAACAAAAGTTTCAGTAAATTGTAAAAATTTTAAGCATATAACAAACTAATTTTTCAATATTTTTTCTACTTCATCAACAACAGAATTTTTGTTTAATTACATTAATTTTTATCAATATTTTCATATATGAATATTTATCTAAATAATTGATTTCCCACTGTTAGAAAAAAAATTAATTGAAAAATGCATTAATATCTTCAAAATATTAGATCCAAAAGCAAGTCCGATGGATTAATAATTAACTCTTTTTCTAATTAATCTTTTTTCTTCATTTCAAAAACTAATCACTTAAGTTATCATAATTTAAATAACTGCTCAATTTTATTAATTTTTAGAATGAATAATACATTAACATCAATATTTTGTATATTAAATCTATCTTGATATATAAAATTATGAATACAGTAGAGCGTCGATTTTCCGAAAGTCAATCATCCGAAAGAATTCCAGTCGGCAAATATAAATTTTCGCCAGTGCTGTGGCACTTCAATCTTTGGCTATGTCTTGGGCTACTCAAATATTTTACGTTTTTGATACTAAATTAACATCTAAAGTATAATTTTTTATTATTTTTATATTTTTCAATATATTTATTTTGTTTGTACAAAATAAAAAAATAATTTTTAACGATACAATAGTCTTTGTTAGGCTTAACATAGACGAAAATTCAACGCAAAGCGACATGCAACGGAGAAAAATTTCAACATCGGATACGTTAAACTATTTTTTCGTATGTAAATCAGTTATCCGAAATATCAGTTATCCGGACAACCCCAGTCCCCAATTGATTCAGAAAATTGATGCTCTACTGTATATATAAATTACTTTTTAACATGCTTAATGTTACATATTGTTGCATTACTGACCAAATAAAATTTATTTTTCTTAAATTTTTACCTCTAAATTTTGTTAATTTCATAAATAAATTTATAGTGATTTCAGCAACTAATTACTATTATTTATATACCTCAAATTACACTTACTCTTTTTATCTGCATGAAATAACGAAGGAATGAAATTATCAAGAATCAGAAATTAAATTAATACCTTGAAGATTTTCCCTTGCATAACTGCTGTCTCCGTACCTGGTTGCCACATCCAAACAGCTAACAAAATCAGCTTCCTCATGATGGATTCTATTTCTTTAAGGTTTTAGGAAGAGGGTGAATGTTACAGCCTATAATTCTTTTACTCACCTCTTCTAAGTAAGGAAAGATATGTGGGTATATTTTACCCTACAGTGTATAATAAATGAAGCAATATGGTTCTGCTTCATGTTATATGAGATACTTATATAATTATATTTTCTTTCTTTCTTTAAAAATAATTAAACCAAAAAGAGTTTTTGCTTAAGTTACCACTCACATGAGGAAGATCATTCTGTATCCAGCTCCTGTATCTAAAACTTGAAAAAAACTGGCAACATTTCATGATGCAAATTAGATAATTCAAACTAATAAACAAATAGGACAATTTAAATTATCAAATAGGAATTAGGTCAGAAAAACAAAAAAAATTTTTATGCAAAACACACTAAATGATATGTTCAACTACTTACTATTTTAAAATTATAACAAGGAAATTTGTAATTTCTATTTAGTTCATGCATTCTATTATAATTTAATTATAACTCCTTACTCAAACTATAATCATCCTATTTCAAAGTTTTTAAATCACAAAGCTAATCTTAAATTTATCTGCATTGAAAAAATTGGATAAGCAATAATCAACATTTTTCTAACATATTATAGAAGAATACTGAATATTTTATTACCTCTTTTTGTTTTTGTTCTTCTAATTCTACTTGGCGTCTTCTCTCCATTTCTTCCAGCATTTGTTTCTCCATTATTTTCTTTGCTTCTTCAACTCTACGTAAAACTTCTGCTTCAATATCATCTTTACGTTTTTGTAATTCTTCTTGAACTCTTTTTGCAACTATCTCCTCTATACGTTTTGATGTTTCATCTTCAATAAATTTAGACTGCAATTCCTTTTGTCTCCTGTAAGATAATGAAACATTTTAATATAAAATAAAAATTCTGTTTAAATACACATAACAACAACAAGATATAAGTATCTAAGCCTTATATTTTAAAAAATTTCAAACTTGGTAATTTATTCTATTGATGAAGTAATGGAAAAAACTTCAAACCTACAAGTAACATTTTCATGTATTACAATAAATATAATGCAAAAGTTTCAAAAATAGATAACTCACTTCTGAAATGGAGGCCTTTACTTCTCCAAGGTTGTACAGCATGTTTATTCTTTGACTATATCATCTAGTTTTCAGTTAACCTGTAACAATTCATCTCTAATGTCTTACATATTGAAAGCGCATTAGATATGTGTTGATTTATCAATCACTCAATGTTTTGTTGTGAAGATAATACAGCAGAAAAGAAAAAGTATTTCATGTATTGAAAGTTTGTATTTCAAGATGAAAAAATCTAACATAATAAATAATTTATGCTTTGTTTGAAGCACAATTTATTCTTTCTTTTAAAATGCCAGCATTTGTTTATTTCATTTCTTAATAATTAGAACGATATTTTATGTTCTAAAATTGTGCAAAGTTATCTTCTTTTTTCAATAAAATGATAATTCAGTTTATTATTGAAAACTAAAATTATCATTTATTTAAAAATTTAATTTAAACAAATTATTAAACAAAATTGTAGTTGATTGTAATCATCTATTGAATAATATTTAACATAACATTATTCAATAGTTGAATCAATATCTACTTTATTACAAATAATCTGAATTAAATATACAGAATATTGTACACAATAGAAAAAAACTTTGAATGTTTGATAGAGAAGTTTTAAATTATATGCTGTTATTTACAAAACCAGAAAGTTTTCAGAATGCAGCAATATTGTTAATTATTTTAACTGATCTTCCATTTATCATTAGCATTTGCATAATATTACTTACAGAGTGTTCATGTCATTCCTTCACAATTTAATACCTTCACTATCAGTGACACCTTGGAGCAGTCCATACTGCATGGGCTGACCTCTCTCAAGAGCATTGTAAAAGTTAGATATATTTCTCATATGTAAAATTTTATTTTATATTTATAAGAAAAAGTGTTTTTATTATTTACTGTACACTTTTAAGAATATATTATATTTTATGTAACCTCTTTGACATTTTCAACAAGAATATGATAAACAAACAAAACAAACACATTTTTTCAGCACACAGCTAGGGACACTGCTCTCTATGGGGGCAGTGAATGTTTTAATTCATATCTACTTATGTTTTCTTTTTTTTTTTGCCTTTATCTTTTATTTTATACATAAGAATTATGAAAAATAAGCTTTTATCTATTATTTGTATATTTTTTATTTTTTTTGTTTCATTACTTGACTATTAGATAGGTTTTAAATTATTATACACATATTTTTTATCAGTTTTTTATCCTTATAAAATATCAGTTCTGTTATTTATCATGATTACTAATTAAATTGTTGAAATTTTTATATTTATTTTGTCAAATGTTAAATAAAAAAACTAATTATTTCCAATTAACAGTAAGAGTTCTTTCTTATCATTATATTGTGATAAATTATGAGTCATGCAGACTTATGCTTAAAAAGTAAATAAATAGAATCAAACTGATAATGTCTTTTCTATCTGAAAAGAATAAACATTTTAATTCAAACTTGTGCAAATGTTTTAATTTCAATTTTAAAACACAAAATTTAATCAGAAAATTTTCAAATAAAGATAGCATAAAACCCATATCCTTTATTCTATAAATGCCCTCTACCATTTGATTTTGGATTATAAAACAGCTTAATCCAATAATTCTAAAAAAACTGTTATACTATTAAAGATAAGGAAAGATTGGTAAAATTTAACTTCTGAAGCCATAAGATATTCAAAAACTTTTTAAAATAATAAGTAAATCACTACAAATATTAATCAATCAAAATAACTATTTACAAAAAACAAAAATAAACTTGACTTAATCAAATAAATCAACTTTAAAAAGTACTTTAGAGCAGTTAGTAATCCAAGTTTGCATCCAAAAACGTGCACTCTCTTTCAAGCTTGATTTTAACAACAATCCTTAGCAACCATCACTACAATTATTATTTTTCATTTGAATTATAATTACAAAAATTAAATTTTTAATCTGAACATATCCTTAAATCTGCTTACAATATGGAGTAAATATAAAAAAGAAAAGCCTCAAAAAATTACACACTATCATTTCCTTAAAACAACAGAAATAACACAACATACAGATAAATTCAAATTTGAGTAATTTGCAATAATATTATTTATTTTATATTTTTTTTGAAATAAATGGCTGAGTTTGGCATGCAATATATTTTAAAATAATTATTTGAATTATGCAATACACTCGATTAATAGAAAAATTTGCCAGCATACAAAATTCAGTTAAATCTTTAGTTCAAACAAAATATTTCACTGAATTTTTTTTAATGCTAACAAATACTTTTATGTAATGAATGATACATTTTAATATATCATTTTAACAAATTTGATTTTCTGTTTTTGAAATTTTTAATTCCATTTGATAGCAGATTTTGTCTTCATGAAAGGTTCTTTTCTATTTCTCATTCCTCTTATGTCTAAAATATCTGATGAAATTTTGAACAATCAAAAGTTTCTTCTATTAATAGATATTTTAAACTGACTAAGTTTTATAATCTTTTTATAATATTAATGATCAATCAATTTAGAAAAAAATAAATATTTACTCGAAAATATTTTTAATACTTGAACTTACTCAGTTTTATTTTTAAAAAAAAATAAAGATTTTAATTGGCTTAGAAGTTAAAGATAATTATTGAAATAACCCTGATATTTCACTATTAGCTTTTGTTAATTCTAAACATTAAAAAATAAATAAATAAATAAAAGAACAAAAAAGTATAAAATTTTAAATATTTACAATAATTTTAATATTTTTCCAACAGTCATTACATTTAAAAAGCTAAATACATATTTTTAGAGATCAATTAAAAATATTGCTGCATTATGAATTATAGATTATAAATTTTTTATTTTTGAAAATTATAATCCCAATACAAATTTTGATCATTTTATAATTTATGACCAATCAGAATAAAATTTAACCTGCCTCTATTTATCTGTATATAAATTTGTTTCATATCCAATGGTTAGTTTTTTTTCTTTACTGGATAATATTTTTGGTTACATAAAGATTAATTATAGAAAGACTTGAGTCAGTATGAGAAATAGAAATTTCATCTAAAATTAATTTACATTATTCAATTTATTTGAAAATTGTACTAAAATGTCTGAGAATCATTTAAATATTTTGAATGGAATTTTCATTATTTATAAAAATTCTAATTCTCAGAATAATTTCTTTACTAAAGCTTAGTTTTTATACTTTTCTGATTTAAAAAATTTTTAAAAACACAATTTTCCATCATCTTATGGTATAACATAAAGCTATTATAAATTACAACAATCTTAAATTATATTAATAATAAAGTATTGTATAATAATAATAATATCTTTAAATAATTATAAGATGATACTGTAAAAAACTCAAAATAATCAGATATAATAAGTATTATATTATTCTTTCATTTTTTAAAAGATATTTCCCACTACAAGAAAGTTATGTATGTAATTAATATTTTATGTTCATTTTAACAATATTAAAAAAAAAAAAAAAACATAATCATGTTTTTAGATGGCCAAGACAGTTAAGGCATCAGCCTACCACTCTGGGAGACCCAGAATCAAATCTGGGCAGAAAAACTGAAATTTTTCAGGAGGATGGTCTGTTCCAGATATATTGACCTGTTCCTCACCATCTGACTTCCCCACTGTGGGTCTGGTCAAACCCATAATGATAGGATTAAAAGACCTTAGAGCCCAAAGGGTGGAGGGGGAAAACCTATTTAATAATTACTAAGAATACTCAGTATAGCTGGATAAAATACAGTTAACAGGTTATACAATTATATTTTTAAATTCAATTATGTTTATTATTAAACTAGCTGCAAGGACCAGCTTCACTGGGTTTTTATTTGTTCGTACATTTGTATGTAATATAATTTTTTTTTATATATAAAAGACTGTTTTTCTAAGTAATCTAGAATCTAGCTGCAAGGACCCGCTTTGCTGGGTTTTTATTTGTGGGCAAAAAGTAACGATAGTGAAGATTAAGATAATTACATTATAGCCAATCTTACCCATTTTCACAAAATGCAAGAATTAGGTCTCCCGTTTCCAGACGTTTCCAGAGAATTTTTACATGAGCATAAAAATATGTTCGATTTCCCGTAAAAGCGCAAAAAACCGCCTGTAAATCTTGCATGCCGCTTTATATTAACACTTCCTGGTCCCGATTCTATTTCTGAACGTCTCCTGTTCACGTCCAGTCAAACGAACTATTTTCAACGTTTCTGGAACGTTTAC